ATCGTAACCAAGTTTTTTGTCCATATTCAGACCAACTTTCTCACTCTTTGTATGATTGTCGTACCGGACGACATGGCGATATCGCTCCGCAGTTAATTTTACAAAAATGACAATATTTCCTGTCATAGTTATCAAAACAAAAGTATAATTCCTTAAATAATAAAATACTTTTTATGTAGGAGTATAACTACAGAAAAATAAATCATGATATCCAAGATCGGACTGTTTGTGTGGCGTCATTTCTGGCAATGTGCATCAGACGTCAACAACATGAAGCTGATCAGAAAACGCTGAGATGGAGAAGATCGACAATGTTTATTTGTTGTAAGTAAGGTTTGTGGGATAGAATACAATTGTAATTTACATAAAGTAAACATAAATAATGTATTGCTTGAGTCGATGTCCTGGTAAGACGAGATTTGTGTGTTGTATTTTGATCAATGCATATGTTCTTTCTTGTGAAATTGAATGTTTTTATTAAGAACCGATTATTTATATTACTGTTTGAAGTGTCAACAAAAAGTAAACAATTTATGGAAGCATGGAAGAAACACGTGTGAAAATTTGAATATCGTGGCAACAAAACATCAGTCCTATCTGGTTTTTGAGTTGTATTTTGATCAATGCATATGTTCTTTCTTTTGAAATTGAATGTTTTATTGAGAACCGTTTGAATATCGTGGCAACAAAACATGAATCCTACCTGATTTTTGAGCTGTCTGTGACATTGTTTACCTGTATATATATGTAAAAAAACAAGATGTAACGAATAGAACACTCCCCATTGCACTAGATTTATTTATCTACCCAGACACCAAAACATTGTCATCTGGTCCAAATTTTACTAGGTTAAAGAAAATGAATGGTATTGAATGTAGGGCCATGACAAGTGAATATTCAAAACACTTGGAATTGACAATTCACTTGCGATGGTATCGTGATGTTTTGATGAGACATCATTAAGTTACCTTTGTGAAATTTCTTCTAGATATTAAATAGTTTTTACGAAATATCAAGATACTTATTTTAACACCTAGCTTTGTTCTTGTCTATTCCAGAAATGCACTAAGAATATTGAATGAAATTTGTCTGACGACTCATTTTCCACCAAAGTACATTGACACACATGAAGTGGCAATCTACAACTGTACAGTACTTAGTTTTATAGGAATGATGGATTTGATGATGCAGTGTATAGAAATCTCTTTGAAGGGGATGACAAGGTTTACATAATTGACTTTTTGCTGCAGGGTTACAGATACTCTTGTGCTAGATTTATAGTAATACTAATAGGTAAATATGGCAGTATTTTATGTTTTTTAATAATACTTGGTTGCCTGATAGTTACCCAAACATTGTGTGTTTGTAAACATTGTTAGCTACAATTATGATATGGTGATATCCGATGGGATGATGTTGTCGTGGTATATTCCTCACTACGCAAAAGACATCTTAGCTTTTTTCACGTCTGCAAAAACCTGTCAAGCAACATTCCAAAGTTTGTACACTCGCGTGTGATGTACTGGAGCCCTCAAACTTTACTAATTTTGTTGGCGAAGTATTGCAGAGAATATTGTTTTACGGATATGTAAATTGGGAGATATGCCAATGTCTTGATTACGTTGGAAGAAATGCGATTATTCCAAAAGCTTCAATAATGATGAACGGTAATCAAATTGATGACACATGATCCAACCGCTACAATGATAGCACAATACATCAACTTGAAATCTTATGTATGGAATTCATGTCGATTTCATTGAAGAATTGGTATTTATTTTTATTCTAAAATTACAACTTTACCTAGTAACGTATATATTTGCCACATTATTACCACCCTACTTTTCCGTTGACATATAATAAGGTGACACTGGGTTTGCTGTTGTATACGATGATTCAAATGTCTTGTATGTGTATGTAATATGCTAATTAATGTAATTATCAATATAAATCAACTACTGTGATCCAATATTTATTAATGACTCTTTTTAACAAACTATAACATACACATCATGCATATCATACATATCATGCATTATTTTTCGGTTAAAAAGGTGGTTTTAGAAAAAAATGATGTTTAGTATTACACTACATGGGCCTCCATAGGTTTAGAAAAGTAGTTCCAATATGGCTGACTTTTTATGGTGAAATTAACTAATGATTTGACTTTGAGGTTGTGATTATGAGTTTTTTGGAGCAGTTTCGTTAGCTTCCAACAATCCCACTACCTAAAATGAATTCTAAGGAATATTTTGACTGATATTTCCTTGCAAATCAACTCTGTTTTGTGTAGATATGTTTTTTCATGCATAACGTGTAATTAATGCAATTAAAACAATATTAACGAACTGAACTTAACTGAAAGCTAATATATACTGTTACTCATATCCTAAGGATTGTAGTAATACCAAAATTAGGGTTATCGAGGTAAAATTCAAGAAATGACCTTTTGTAACTTAGATGAAAACAGACTTTACATGAACCTTAATGTGTAGGTACGGTTCGTTCATGCGGATTATTGTTTACATGTATTGCATATAGTAATATGCATGTTAGAACCCTACTATATATTAACTAAGTATCCATATTATGAATATGTGTATATATCTATGAGTTAGTATACATATGTTGTACTTGTATAAGATATATAAATGTTAATTTAAATACTTTCATGTACGTACGCAGGCGTTACGCATTAGTGATTGTACAGGTAAGCGTGAAGCATTTTCTGTAAGATTACCGTATCTATTCATTAGTGTTGATATCCGATATTATTGTTGTTAGTATTCCTTATAATAACGTATATAGTTGGTTCTAATTAGTCCGCAAAAATAAGTGTTAATCAAATACATGCACATGCTTGTATTTACATGTTATATTTACAGTGATACTATAACTAGGTTTTACTATAGGGACCGCGGAACCAAATGATTTTCCATAGACGATAGTGTTAACGTTTACCACTGTCCTGGTTAAATGGGGTTATCCACACTGGTTTACCTGACCTCATTTTGAAGAATAGCATCTCACACAACTGTAAAAAAAATATTTCAAAATTCTGCCAATTTGAACTTTTTTTTATATGGGGGCTGCCATCTTGTATTGAATTCGGCACGAAAAATCGAACAAAATTTACAGCAAATTACACACTTATAAACTCACCCAGACAAAACCAGACTTGATTTTTTTTATTTTTTTTTATACATATTACATCTATGTATATATTGCTCAACCCACACATACAACTTTTGAAACTTCTTCCACTTTAATATCCAACCAGCAGGCCCCGAGGCATTCACCTCTCCATTAAATCTTCTGCCCAAAAGGGAAAAACCCACAATCTATTTTTGATTTGGTTCCGTGGTCCCTATATTGGGTGTATGGGCAATAGTGTTAGTATGTATGTTCATTATTGATAGATTTCCATGAACGGGTTGGTAGGTGAGAAGAATGTGGACGAGACAACTGGCGCTACATACATTGGGTCGGTTCCACAAGGGCAGACAACTCATAGTTGTGCTGACATCCTTCGTCAGTGAGGTAGAAGTAGTAGTCCTCGAGTCATCTGCGAAGACGGAGGCCTGCTGCATTCAAGCACATCGGTGCTAGATCCTGCATTCAAGCACATCGGTGCTAGATCATGCATTCAAGCACATCGGTGCTAGCTCCTGCATTACAGCACATCGGTGTTAGACCCTTCTGCGGCGGAGTATATATCCATTATCAGCGGACGTGGACTATATGGTGAAGCGGAACACACCTTTATGAGACTTGTTTATTCCATCGGATCCTTTTCCATATTGTATTGTGTATTGGCCACATGGACATTGGAACTATTGATAAACAAGCTGCAACTGTGACACCACCAACCGGAGTAATGACATTCAGTGTTGAATGTATGAATGTGTGTTTGTGAGTGCGTGTACATACTTATGTTTTTTTTCCTTTAATATGTATTGTAAATAAACTTGTAGATATTGTATTACAAATCGTTATGTGTTCTCTCAGGTGCTGACTGGTCGTTCAACGTACACATACATTGGTTATTCACGTATACACGTGGTTATACGATTTAACTATACTGCCAGGTGTTTTCACTTTTCAAGAGATCTACATTCGCGATTATGACAAAACCATATTGAAAGAAATTATATGCGTTCCATGTCTACGTGCTCTAATACTATATGAAACTCAGATGCAAAAGCTGTTTGGTAGACGTTGATATGTGGATATGTAACGTTATGATGGGGTATTAAGTATGCATGTAAACATATAGGAGGAATACATGCGATTTATCAGCAGATTTCATAACATTATTCTTGATTACATTGCAAATATATGACTACAAAAAATCACATAATTAAACTTGCTCTCACGTCATATAATTTGGTTTTTCATAAGTAATATTATTATATGGAATTTTGAATCTGTGTAGCCATTGTGCGATATGTGTAACTTAAATACGTCTTACCAGAGATATATATAATACAGAGATTTGTAATATATATACGTCTCTGGTCTTACATCCCTGTCATATTAGAATCGTCCTCCGATGTAATTTTTTACGTTAGTAGTGATATCTCTTCACCCTATCGTCAACCTACATTAGAAGAGAGTTCTATTAAGTATGTAGTTTATGCCAAGATGCATACTATCAGATGTGTACATTGAAACAAATCAGAAATATATATGAGGGGTGTAGCTTTTGAACCCTTGCTACCTCTTATATGGACAAGTGGCCCAAAACGTGCCACTCTGACGTCACAAGTATCACGTGACCTGTTAGCTCATTAAAAATCTACCCAGTAAGGAGCGATAACCTTTAGTTGCTTATATCTAGGTAACGGGACACTTCTGAACGCGCGTTGATGGATGATTCGGTATTCATTTAAGTATATTACAGGTTTCGCTTATTTTTACAGAATGTTAAAAATCGTCGCCAAAACCCTTTAATTAACTAACAAAACCAACTTGTTGGTATACTCCCACCTGATACATACCTGCAATTAACAGTGTTCCTGAAATAACAGACTGTACAAGTGCCGTTTCCGCTTTACTTCTCTCGAATACACGTAAAAATTCCGTGTTTAACACTGACATATTGAATGGAAATCCAGCACAGAAAAACATGTTGAAAAAGCTTGCAACGAGCACCAACCACTTGCGGACTGATGTGTCCTGTTGAATCGCCATGTTTCAGAGTAGTGTGTTGTTCAGCTGTTGTGACGTTTGTCCGGGTGGTTATGTAAATTCTGTATGCCACCTGTCCCGTCATTGTGTAGAGACCTGATTGTGCAACCAGGCATAACAAACCCGTTTTTGGAAACTGATACATGTCTTATGCAAAGTATTTAATATGTATAGGTATACATCAGCTCCGTGTGTTAAAATAATAATTGTATGCAGAATAAAAACATAGTGATAGGGATGCCTTTTGTTTACTGTTGTTTGTTTACAATTTTGTTACCAGAGCAGCAATAAAAACTGCCTCTTACTTAGAGACTTGTCATCCTAATAAAATATAGGCCGACTAGGGTTGACATCTCTTAGAGTTGAGCGGTAGAGCATCAGACTAGTAAATGAAAGTTGCTGGGTTCGTTTCATAGCGAAAACATTGAATGATAATAATTATAACCTCTAGAACATTGGCACCAACGTCAGCATGAAGATGCTTTGCACAGCAATCAAACTATCCTGTACGGAATAAAACATAAGACTTATCAGATGAATGGTATTGAATCGTATCCGTTATTCACCTTACTTACCATGTGAATTACTAGTAAAACATAAAAAACAAAAAAAGACATAAAATACGTCTTAATCACCTTACGTATCGTGAGATTGATTGGTGAATCTTAATATACACGACCTGTGAATAGCTAGTGAATCGTAATTTACATCATACTCAACTTACTTGGCAATCGAATAGCTATTTACAAAATGTAGTCGTAATAAACATAATATTCACCTAACGTGGCATGTGAATAACTAGTGAATCGTTGTATACCTCCTATTCACCGTACGTGGCATGGGATAGCTAGTGAATAGCTTTTGAGGCGCATGCTAAGGTTAGGTGAATCGTATTATACGTGCCATGTGAATTGCTAGTAAATCGTTAACTATCTCATATTCACCTTGTTTGGCTTGTAAATGGCTAGTAAATCGTAATATACCCGATATTCACCTTACGTGATATGTGCATAACTATTGAACCGTAATATACGTGCTATTCACATTAAATGTCTTGGGAGAAGCTAGTGAATCGTGATATATCTTTTACTCGCCACGTATTGTAAATACAACAAAGACAAAAATGAAATATACTGAGGATGGTACTGCGAGAATGATTGAGTTCTTGGTTGACAATATATTCGTTTAGTTCGGTCGTAAGATTTCCAAGCAGACTGTAGGCATTCCTATGGTAACAAACTGTGCCCTTTCTTTGGCCGAGTTGTTTATGTTTTGATATGAAGCTGAACATATTGATGAGTTTACAAGGTCATTTCAGTAATCTCTTGTTTTTGTTACAGTTCAATAAAGCGATTGAACACACAATATACATATTAACATGTTATGGTGACGCTCTTTCTGTATTTTCCATTATAACTATAGCTAAAATATCACAGGAATGTATATTATGATCTACAATAGACTTTGCACTATTGGAACTAATATCAAATCGCTATCTAAAATGATAATGCGTACCAGAAATCTATCTACTTTCTCTTTCTGTTTTGCTTTGTATAGCCCTCTAGTAACTATGTCCTGATTGTGAATCGATATAAACAGCTGATAAGACTACATTTTACAGGTGTGTATAGCAGATATTGATGTAGGCGAAATACGAAATAGGGCGGTACTTGCTTTGTGATCAACGATGTTATCCGACTGTTTATTTACTGGTTTTACCTAACATTTTAACGTGCAGTTATGTCCTACGTGGTCGATTTAAACCCGGAAGTTGATGAGATTCTTGACCTTTTGAGCACACTGATCTATTTTACGTGGCACCTACAATTTTACGATTTGGTATAGATTTGCATCGGTTTAAATATTGGCACTGATTGAAATTGTCAGTTGAATTTGTGAATTCAACGACGGAGAACACACGGAGGTATTTCAATGTTAATAAATGTAGATTGTCTCTTTGTTTTCTAGTACTATGTTGCTGTTAAGGCTATTGTATAAAATCTATTTATAAGTATGAGATTGCCGAATTAGATAGGGGTCGTATCTGGTATAGCATGTATCGCTGTATAGTATACTGTTAACACAAAACGAAATGAAATAAAGATTATATACAATAGGTGTCATATATCTGCTGCTTGGTTTACACTACATGGAAACAGGACGGCATGATATAAGCATTGTCAGTTTTCCGTTTCTTTTGTCAATGCGGTACAAAGTTGTGTCAACTTACTTGTCAAAACATACTATATTGAAGGCCTTTGTCAAACGTGTAAGTCCATGTTGTCATTTTTCTCTTGTTTGTATTAAAAAACATGCGAATTGTCGACTGATTATTGATATATAAAGAGACAAAACAAAGACATTGATTTTTATGTTAAAAGTGATAAATATTGTTGTTGGTGGATGAATCCATCATAAACAGCTGATAACAAAACATTTGTGACTGTGACATTTTGCAGGTGTGTGTATAACAGATAATGATGCAGACGAAATACGAAAACAGGGCGGGACTTCATGCTCTGTCGTCAGGGTGTGTTATCCGACTGTTTATTTACTGGTTTTACCTAACATTTTCACGTACAGTTAAGTCATACGTGGTCGATTAAACCCGGATGGTGATGAAATTCTTGGCTTTTTGAGTCCTGTTTCCTGTTCCTCTGCTAACAAAACACCAGGAAATTCCACTGTAACTTTCAAAATGGAATCATGCTGAGTAAATTTAGTTAACTGTTTTGGCCCACCTTCTGATTCTACCGTCCATAAACCCCAACAACAGTAAACATTTATAGATTATTCCGCTGTTACACAATAGTATTGTGTAACTTTTTTTTTATCAAACAGACAGTATGGCACGAATTTAATCTTTTATATCATAAACAGACTTAAATTATATTCTCGTGTATCAATGTGTTTGCTAGTTCAATAGAATATTGTCTGCCAATTATTCAGCGTTTGCTCCGGACAACTGTGTACGTGTGTGTCTGTATTAACTCGGTGCTCAAGATCAGTTTAATGTTAATATAAGATAGTGTACTGCGTGGAATGTTCCTCGATGAGCCGTTAATCAATGCAAAAAACAACGCTTTGTAAGTATAATGGCAAATACTACCATGTAGGGATTTTTTGAGTTTAGTGTCATCTTAATATACGAACATTGTTTTGTCTGAGTATTCCCTCAGCTATCAATAGCCGCGATTATATACATTTGCAGATAGAGTAGGGTATTATATGCTTTATTCTATAAGATACACGGGAACAATTAGAATTAGATAAGGTATGCCAGAATGACGGTACCAAAGTGTGAGTGAACATTAAACATTTAACTAGTCATACACATATATCTACTTTTCCCTCAATGCAACTGTAAAGCTGGACTGTAAACACTGTGTATGCAAAGTGTATCCTCATCTGGCCATTCTAGAGGAGTCTCCTTGATAGTTTTTATATGCAGAAATCCTTTGATGCAGTGTTTAATGATTACATATTTATTTTCCCCCCTTCATTTCCAGCTTAAAATTGTTAACTAATATATCGGCATCAAGAAGTGTCTTCCCGAGTTTACAAATATGCGTTAGGGGTTGTTTGCAGTCTTTATGAAACCCTTTCGTTGTGTATTATTGACCAAAAATCTAATTTTATTCTTTTAACCACAAAACTTCAATCATTATTTCGGACAGCATATACTTGAATGAAATTAAATCTCACTATTGAGGGGTTTTGCTATGCATGTAACAGGCTTATTTGCTTGCATGACATCTATGTTACCGTTTCCTTTATCCTTGATGTTCACAATACAGTTTCAACTATTTGCGACTCGTTTACCCTAATATACGTGTTTAGGCAATAACGAAACTCTTGCATAAACGATATACAGTCAATGTTTATTGTAGCACTTTTACAAACAGGAGGCAATACATATTCGTTATACAGGGTTAATTTATATGTGTATGTGTAAGTGTACATAACACATGCTTTCGAATTGATGTTGTTACACGTACTGAGTCTATTCTTTTAAAATAGTTCATCGCCGTAATGAAAATGTGTACACAACAAAATAAGTTTATGTAAGCAGGTAATTTAAAAAGTTCGTATCTACAATTAACGTATTTTGCCTATTCTGAGATAGGCCATAAAATCCATAGAAAGCCTATTCCCAATGGAATCCTTTATGTCTGCAATGTGTATTATCGTCATGAGATAGGCATTTAGTAGCAAAAATGAAGAATAGACGTAAAAATTCCGTTTTTAACACTGACATATCTGACATATTGAATGGAAATCCAGCACAGAAATTGAAAATAACCTTATTGAAAAAGCTTGCAACGAGCACCAAACACTGATGTGTCCTGTTGAATCACCATGTTACAGAGTAGTGTGTTGTTAAGCTTTTGTGAAGTTTGCCTGGGTGGTTATGTATGTCACATGTGCTGTTGTAGTGTAGAGACATGAAAACCCGTTTTAGGAAACTGATACAAGTTATTCAATATGTATAGGTATACATCAGCTCCGTGTGTTAGAATAATAATTGTATGCAAAATAAAAACATAGTGGTAGGGCTGCCTTTTGTTCACTCTGGTGTGTTTACAATTTTGTTACGAGAGAAGCAACACAAACCGCCTCTAACTTCTTAAGGCAGGAGCTATAACCAGTTAAGAGACTTGGCATTCTGGTGAATTACAGGCCGTATCCACAGCCTCGACCAGGGTGAAAATCTTTTAGGCTCGATAGGTAGAGCATCAGACTAGGAAATGAAAGGTTCATGGTTCGATTCTTAGCGGATACATTGAATGATAATAATTATGACCTCTATGCCATTGGCGCCAACGTTAACATGAAGATGTTCTACAAATCTGGTTAACAATCCGGTACGAAATAAAACGCGACTTTTCTAATGAATCGTTCTGAATTATACACGCTATTCACCTTACCTACCTTATGAACTGCTAGTAAATCGTAAAAAACTTGCTATTGACCTTGCGTATCACCTGAATGGTTATTGAATAGTAATATACCTTATATTTACCTAACGTGACATGTAAATAGATAGTTTATCGAAAGATATCTCCTATTCAACTTCTGTGCCATGTGAATGGCATGTGAATCGTATTTAGTTTCCACCTTACGTGGAAAGTTAATACCTAGTGAATCGCAAGGTACATCCTACTCACTTTAAGAAGCATGTGAATAGCTAGTGCATCGTAATATACCCATTATTCACTTTAAATGTCTTGGAAATGGTTAATCCGTTGTAATAAACCTTTCACAGGCCATGTAAGGTGAATAAAACAAAGACCAAAATGATTGAGTTCTTGGTTGACAATATCTTTGCTGAGTTCGGTGGCATGATTTTCCATCAGACTGTGTATTTCTATGGGTACAAATTGTGCCTCTTAGATGACTGATTTGTTCTTGTTTTAATAAGAAGCTAAATTAATTCATGAACTTATCAAGACAAGTCAGTATTCTCTCGTTGTTTATGCCTTAGTCCAATAAAGGTATGAAATATGCAATAAACATATTAACATGGTATAATGGCGGTCTCTTTATATATTCTTTTCTTTTGAATTTTCCATCATTACTATAGCTAAAATATTACATGAATGTATATTATGACCTACAATATACTTTGCACTATTGGAACTAACCTATAATCAAAATCGCTATCTAAAATGATAATGCCTACCAGGAATCTACTTTCACTTTCGGTTTTGCGTAGTATAGCCCAATTATGAATGTGTCCTGATTATAAAATCTATATAAGAAGCCGATAACTCCTCATTTGTTATTGCGACATTTCACAGGTATGTATAACAGGTATTGATGCAGGCGAAGTAAGGAAATAATGCGAGACCTTATGCTCTTCGATCAAGGTATGTTATCCGACTGTTCATTATAGTGTCGTATATATGCTGTTGTTACCTGACATTTTAACTGGTGCAGTTATGTCCTACGTGGTCAATTTAAACCCGGAAGTTGATGAAATTCTTGTCTTTCTGAGCACGATTGATCTATTTTACGTGTCACCTACAATATTCAGATTTGGCATAGATTTGTATCGGTATAAAATATTCGCGCTGATTGAATTCGTCGGATGAATTGGTCAATTTGACAACGGAGAAAACACGGAGGTACTTCAATGTTAACAAATGAAGATTTTCTCTTTGTTTACTAGTATTATGATGCTGACTAGGCTATAGTACAAATAGATTTATAAATAGAAGACATAACGAGTTAAATAGTGCCTTATCTTGTATATTATGTATCGCTTTATATAAAACTGTAATTGCAAAAAGAAATAAAATAAAGATTATATCAAATAGATGTCATATATTTGCTGCTTGGCTTACACTATATGGAAATAGGACGGCATGATATAAGCATTGTCAGTTTTCTATAACCATACGGTACAAAGTATTGTCAGTTTAATTGTCAAAACATATCTAGTACTTTTTATTTAACATACTTAAAAAAGTTCATGTTGCCAATTACCTCTTGTTTGTATAAAGAAACTTCTTCGTCTTCCATGCGAATTGCGTAACACAAACACATATGTTGCTCCTTTAACATTTAGAAATACATACAGTATGCCAGAATGTAATTACACTGCATTATACAGCTGGGACTTCTAGGACTCAGTGGTAATGCTAGTGACAAATCAGTTTGAAATTCAAATTGTGTAACTACTTTTTAATAAAAAAAAGTTAGAGGACATCTAGTTAATTTTAGTATGGCAATAAATAATTACAATTTCTAGGTTGTAAAAATCCGTCATGACGGTACCAGAGCCTGGGCAAACATTTAACTAGTCATACGCACATACATATATCTACTTTTCCCTCCATGCAAGTGTGAAGCTGGACTGTAAACAATGTGCATGCAACGTTTATCCTCTGATGCTGTGTTTTATTATTAAATCTTTAGTTTTTCCGCTTCTTTTTCAGCATAAAATTGTTAACTAATAAATCGGCACCTAGAAGCGTCTACTTGAGATTCCATTTATGCGTTAGAAGTTAAAAAAATAAACGAAATTAAATTTTACTATTGAGGGTTTTTGCTATGCATGTAATAGGCTTATTTGTTTACATGACATATATGCTACCGTTTCCTCTATCATTGATGTACACAGTACAATTTCTGCTATTAACAACCCGTTTACTCCGTACACGTGCTTAGTCAATAACGAAGCTCTTGCATATACGATATTTAGAGATTATCATATGACCATTTTGATATTACACCCCATATCAGCCTGAGAGTCCTGATATCAGCCAGAGGGCCGATATCAGGACTCGAGGGCTGATATGGGATGTGCTATCAAAATGGTCATATCATAAACTTTTTATCATATGTTTTTTTCCTTTAAAATAAACAAAACATACACAAACGAATCATTTCTTTATTTTATTTACTGATATTCATTAAAATGACAACAAAAACAATGATGTATACTGATAAACAAAACAGTAACAACTATCATAAAAAGTCAACATTTAGAAATTCCTAAATTCCTACAAAATAACATGGTAATTAATAGTTTTAACAATATAACACAATGGATCTGGTTGGATTTCAATTTAATCACTGTCTGAATCGATCATCAACACAATACAATTTTCAATATCCATTGGGCATTAACCACTTAATGATTACAGTAATACTAACTAGAACCAACAGTTACCAAGCTTATAGAACTATTTATTATTCATTTGAATACTGACCCTACCTAAACCAAGCGCCCCTTTTTCATACAGAATTGACACTTCTTCCTTATTTAGTAAATCATCAGCATTTGGGCGGTTTCCTTTGCCTTGAATCTTCAAATTCTTCATTTTGGCACTTAGCACATCACGAGAATGTTTGAATTTAATATCGGTCAAAATATTGACGTCGTAGTGTTTCTCCTGTAGGTAACGGTCAATGCTGGATTGTTCAAGTTCAAGTTCAAGTTCTTTATAACTTTAAGTCGGTTGACTTATATTATCAGTTATAACTTATATACAAAACAATACAGAGACAACATACAATATGATACACACATACACACACGATCGTAAACACCTCAGACTTGATAGTTCGTACTCAGATTTATCGTTTTTTCTGACGTTCATGAAGAACCTGGCCATGTAATCCGCCAACTGAACCGAGTCAATGGACTCTGGAGATCTCCACTCGTTTTGAGACATCAGATAATCCGTGAAAATTTTGATGTCGGATTGCGTTTTTCTCGCAGAATTCTTGTTCCTCATGAAAGATGAAGAAATGTATCCTTGTTCCTCCTTGTTCCACGAAAGCTTCGGTATCATTAACTAGCATTATTAAATCGCCCCCCCCCCCTGCATTCATTACACGTTTCGTCTCCTTTTCCAGGATTAATTCATCTAGTTCAACAATCCTTGATGCCTGTTCCTCTAACATCTCCTCGCCAGTACTAGCTATAGACGTCGACATCGTTGTTTTGTTTACGCAGACGACAGGTGTATCACTAATAAGCAAATCCAAATACGGAAGTGGCGCCATCCGGAAATTTGGATGGGGCTTTGTAAATCAATCTTTAAATTATTTTCAATGAAACGGCATTTTTTCCGTGCCAACAATTCGTTTGTTTACATTAAAAGCAGACAACAATAAGCGGAAACGGCAAAATCCGGAAATTAAGGAGGGGGTGTGATATCACTTTTCTAGGGGGTGTGATATCACTTACAAGGGGGTGTGATATCACTCCAAGGGGTGTGATATCACCCGGCCTGATATCAACTTGTTGAAATTTTAGACTTATCACATATACAAAAAGGGTGTTATTATTAGTAAACATATGATAAACCTCAAAGGTGTTAAGATATATATTCTACATTCTCGATGTAAATTAACAGTTAAGTATAGTTTAACACTGACAAGTTTTTATGTGGTATACATTTATTGTAGCACTTTTACAAACAGGAAGTAATATATACGTTATACATGGTAACCATATATTCTTATGTGTAAGTGTGCATAACACATGCTTTGTTATTGATGTTGCTGCACGTACTGAGTTTGTTGTTTTAAAATAGTTCATCGCCGTAATAGTATTAATGATAATATGTATTCATGAAAAGGCATACACAACAAATTCAGTTCAAATAAGTTGGTAATTTAAAATGTTAGTATCTATAAGTAACGTATTTTGCCTTTCCCTGGAGTAGGCCATCAAAGCCATAGAAAGGCTATTCACAATGGCGTCCTCTATGTCTGCCATTTGTATAATCGTCATGTTAAAGATATTTAGGGGGGAATGAAGGCATTTTATTATTTGATGTTTTTATTGGTTGAATATTTATTTTGTTGAGATATTTTATTTGTTAAAAGTGTCCCTCTGCATGAAAATGCTAAACATTTATCTTGTAGTTTGCATAATGGCAAATGTATTTATTCATTCGACTATCTCCCCTGAATTTTGTTTAGATATATATAACTGTAGAGAGACAGGGCTTTGCTTCTTAACGCATACATTGAATGATAATAATTATAACCTCTGGGGTATTGGCGCCATCGTAAACATGAAGATAGTTTGCACAGCACGCAAACAATTCTGTACGCAATAACATTACTTACTTGGTGAATGGTATTGAATCGTATCCGTTATTCACCTTACTTACCATGTGAATTACTAGAAAATCGTAAAATTCGTCTGAATCACCTTACGTATCGTGGGAATGGTTAGTGAATCGTATTATAGCTATTCACCTTACGTGGCATGGGAATAGCTAGTGAAAAGCTTTTATGGCGCATGTGAATGGTAAGTAAATCGCATTAAACGTGCCATTTGATAGTAAATCGTTGAATATCTCCTGTTCACCTTGTTAACCTTTTAAATGTCTAGTGAATATACCCGCTTCTCGACTACCATGACATGTGAATACCTAGTGAACCGTAATATACGTGCTATTCACCTTAAATATCTTGGGAGTAGTAAGTGAATAATAATATACCGCTCACAAGCCACGTATTGTAAATACAACAAAAACAAAAATGAATTATACTGAGGATGGTACTGCGAGAATGATTGAGTTCTCGGTTGACAATATCTTTGTTAAGTTCGGTCATAAGATTTCCAAGCAGACTGTAGGCATTCCCATGGTAACAAACTGTGCCCTTTCTTTGACCGAGTTGTTTATGTTTTGATATTAAGTTGAATATATGGATGAGTTTACAAGGTCACTTCAGTATTCTCTTGTTTTTGTTACAGTTCAATAAAGCGATTGAATATACAATATACATATTAGCATGTTATGGTGACGCTCTCTCTGTATTTTAAAATTAAAACTTTACTTAAAATATCACAGGATTGTATATTGTGATCTACAATATACTTTGCACTATTGGAACTAATATCAAGCTGCTATCTAAATTGATAATGCCTACCGGAAATATGTCTACTTTCTCTTTCGGTTTTGCGTTGTATAGTCCACTATTAGCTGTGTCCTGATTACGAAATCTGTATAAACAGCTGATAACATGACATTTGTGATTGTGATATTTAACAGGTGTGTATAACAGTTATTAATATAAGCAAAAACGAAAATAGGGCGGGACTTCATGTTCTGCGGTCATGGTGTGTTTTTCGACTGTTTATAAACCGGTGTTCCCTATCATTGTTAAGGTGCAATCATGTCCTACGTGGTTAATTTAAACCCGGAAGTTGATGAAATTCTAGACTTTTTGAGCACATTGATATATTTTACGTGGCACCTACAATATCAAGATTTTGCATATATTTGTATCGGTTTACAATATTGACGCTGATTGATATAATCAGTTGAATTGTCTATTTGATAACGGAGAACACACGGAGATACTTTAATGTTAATACATATAAATTGTCTCTTTGTTTACTAATATTATGTTGCTGTTAAGGCTATAGTATAATTCGATTTATTTGTAAAAGTGTCTCTCTGCATAAAAATACTATAACGTTATCTTGCAGTTTTTTTAACAGCAAGTGTTTTTCTTCATTCGACTATCTTCTCTGAACTTTGTTTAGATAGATATATCTGTAGAGAGACAGAGCCAGTGGTAAGGTTATCATTAAACTTTCCTTGTTCTGTCATATCTAGTATGGGCCAGTTAAAGGATATATTTAGGTACAGAACAAACACATTTTATTGTCGGCCTACGTTATATAATATATATCGATTAAACTGGCCACGTAGACAGCTACTATAATCAAACAAACATTTGAGGTAACGTTATTGTGTCAATTGTTTACCTTTTATAAGTGCATCGTCTGCTATCGTGTCCTATCGTCTTTTTGTAGAATTTCAGACACAAATCAAAGGTTTTTTATTATTTGTTGTTTTGATAGTTGACTATTATTATTGTTGAAAATAATTTATTTGTTAATAGTGTCCATCTGCATGCAAATTACTGTAAAATGCGCCTTTAGTTTTGATTACAGCAAATGCATTTCTTCATTCGATTGTATATTTATATGTGTGTTACAAATGGTACATGGTAGAAATCTTAATAAAATACATGGTCGTGCCAGATAACATTTTCCAATACACACATAAAGTTACAGATTTTGACAGTGGTAAAGGGATCTATAAAACAGCTCGTGGTCTGACATATCTAGTGTCAACCAGTAAACGGATAGGATAGGTACAAACAAAAATGACATTAACTTTTGTAAGAGAAACCTTTTTAAGCTTGTTTTTAAATCTATTTGGTATGTATATGTAATAAAGATGTTGGTCAATTAAAAATGGATTCTTATTGTAGCTAAAACTTATAAATATGTTAGAAGGACTATTTCGTTAAGCAATTGGTTATAATCTTGTCAAAAATCCTTCATGATAAACAAGTAGGTACTTCTTATGAGCAACTCGTGTCGGGAAATTTACAGGATTCATTATTTTATGGCGCTCTGAATCGGTAATGTTTTTGGTGAACTTTGAAATAACATGTTATACTTGTATACACAAAAATATTATTTTAACAATTCAAGCTTTGACTGCCTAACGTCTTTGAAATACAATTAAAGGCATATATTCTTTAAATCAATATCATCTTCAAAATAACATCAATTATCATTAGAAAAGCGTTATTTACTTTACGTTTTAACCTACCTATATTGAACATTCTCAAATTCTCTCTTTAGTATCCTCTTGCATTTTTCATTTAACACATATTTACTTCAAATTTCAATCGTGAAAAAAACTTATTATGCTGATATATTATGATTATATATGCATTGCTTGTGTTGTAGATAAAAACAATAAAAAAATGCTACGAGTGACATCACATCCTAAGGCTGAGTTTGATATACAAGCTTTTTTTTAATAACATCCATAGTTACTGACAGTGGATCTTACACTGAGCTAACATGACGTCACTTATGAGGACAATGAAGTTTTCGAAATCTTGTTGCAGAAAGATTCCGATGTATACTAAATGTAATTTCTAAACCACAGGAGAAGTTCGATAGAAGATCATTTGTAAACGTTCTACAATGTATGTTTTTTTGCCGTCAAGATTAAAGCCATAAATTACATATCTCCAGGACTAAAAATATCTCTGTTTAATCGATACCGTTTACCTTTCTTAGAACGATTGTTTACCTCTTTTGTAAACATACTTTGTTAGTGCTTTCGCTTTAAAAAAGAAAGTATGTTTGTATAGCCAAACTATCCTTCATTGTTTATGTAACATGTAATTATGTTTATTCTTTTTAATGTCAGGTGAACGACGTTACCAGCTTATTATGGGTTAGAGTGCAATTATTACCAACATCACAAACAAAAGTTTATCTACAGGTCAGTATCCCTTTTAATCTTCTCCAATGCATGCTGAATTTCAAAATCGTATATAAATAAATATTTGTATGTAGATTTACCTCTCAGAACGAGTGTGTATTTCTCTTTTATTGATCCATTATTAAAAAGAAGAAACAAAATTTCATTGATTATATTTCATTTCTTCTATGCAATTCATTATTGTAATTGATTTCAATTCACGCAAAAGTTACAACACTATTAAATACATATAGTTACGCTACCGTTTCCTTTTTTTTATTTAGGAAATTGGGAAAATATTGAAAGGTTTATGGTCGCCATCATGAGGTTTTTGGGAAAAACGAATAATATTTATATTGTTGATAATTTTTATTACTGTGTGTCTCTTGTTTTTGAAGCTGTTTGATTTACATGGCGATTGTCGTGAAGTAGAGTACGCTAACCCTTCCGGAACATCTGGTCTGGTCCTCCCCGTACGTTTTCATTTCTCTATTTTGACTTGAACAAGTCTACCTGCTCTTTACCATAAATACAGTTTAGGGAATATAGTTTAGGGATATACAATCGAAATAGGGTTTATCGGTGTACTTCCGGTATTTACATCTTTCTCTGTCCTTGACCTCAAGGTAACTGTGGATATATCTAAGACAATAACAGCTTTTACCATAATACTTCTGATGTCTTTAAGAAGTGATATATATGTATTTCATTTTTCAGAAATGAATTCTGATGATGATGACACTGAGGAAGCGGAAGTGTACGCAGTCACTGACAACATGGCACAACCGACATCAGATATACCCGGAACCGGCGACGTCTACGCACTATACGAGAGAAAAGCTCAGCAGTATCTACGACTGTCAGATGGAGGGAAGGTGTTGGCTAATGCGGTGAATAACAACCCTCAAACAGGAAAAACCCCAGAGAACGGTTCATCTGGTAGCGAGTTAGGAAGCAACGTGTCTTCTTGTAATGAACTCATGTCCAAATCTTCACAAGAAAGGATAACACAACAAGATGTCTTACTTGACGAAATTACCAGTGAGAAATTTATACGAGACAGCACTGGCGCAGTTTCGGCAAAAGATATATTCACCTGTGATAACGACAGCATATATACTTCTGGCGAACAGGATGTTATCGACCACCATACTGTTGAGGTTGATGAGCAGCAGGTAAGTGTTACATCTGATACACCATCTGCGGGTTCTGATGAGCAGTTTGACGATACATCGACAGCTGACGATGACGGTTGTGAGAAAAAACATCGTTCGTATGCCCATTCAGAAAAAGCCCACCATGATCATGGCAAAGAAAAACTCTCAGTCACTCATCCGCGTAGCCAGGATAATCCTACCGAAACTCGAGAGGTAAGTTTTGGTAAAACATGTAATAAATCCTAAATCCTCAGATTCAAATTTACTTCTATACAACTAAGTTCATAATATGATTTTGATACAACTACATGTAAGTTGTAATAATAAGATATTCAATTTGATATAATCATCAATATCGATAACTTGTGGTATTTTTTTTAATGACCCAACATTTTCATCTTTACATTTAAGAAGATTCCAATCAATATCTCTCTTTTGTTGTAGAAAAAGGCAACCGAAAGAAAAAAGTTCAAAAAAATAAAATCATTATATAAGGAAGGCACATCATGGTTGGAAATTAAACAGTACACCAAAGGATTTGCTGTCTTTGGGAAACTTTTACAAAGCTCACATGACCTTTCCACGAACGAGTACATCTCAATGACCATCACTCAAATTTGCACAAACCTAGATGACGCTGGTGATTCAGGTAAGTTTGTATTCCTTTTATTAGATATTTCTCATTTTGAGGTAAACCTAGCACGGACCGCAGAGACCGATACCTATATAAATACAAACAGGTGTCATCTCAAAAATGATTTTATTTTATATCGAACGTAGAGTATATTATATGTTACAGTGTGTACACACACTTGTACGTGATTACAGGTTAAATCGTATGACACATTTGCACGACATTTCCGCAACGCCCGATACAAAATGCGTGACCAAAGTCGTTACAGTCTTTGTATGCTCACTGCAAGCATTGTATATGAATTGTAACAGTAGTAATTATATTTCAATATATCCGCTAAGTATCTCACACAGGACCTATGTTGCATTATTTGCAAGCAGAATGATAATTAATCATTACCCGAGCTAAATAATCTAAAGGAAAAAGCTGGAATTTTTCCAGTGCGACAATGATGATATATAGATAACAATGACAATTTATGACTGTTCAGAAAACTCCCAATGACCCGGTATTTTTTATGTGACGAAGGAAATTGCCAACGCTTACATGGTGTCTATGTGTAATAGCGCTAAGCTGAAGGTACTTGTTCCACACATTTTCGTCTCTTCGTTCCTTTGCATTCTCGTAAAGAGAGATGGTGGGACGAAACGATGCTTATTAGCATCCCTTCGCTACCTAGTAACGTTAATGTAATATTAATTAATGTAAGTAAGAATAACTAAAAGAGATCATCTTGTGTTTTGTGACCAGGATACAGATGTATTGAAAAATGTCTTATTCTGTAAGTGAAGTTAATAATTCGTTTTATCGCTCCCTTTTTATCATTAACGTTTTATAAAGCTATCGACAGGGATTAAGATACCACGTAATAAAAGTAAACAAATCAATCGTACGTATATTTTTTAAATGAATTTTCTAGCTTGCACGAGTTAGTTGTATATATAACGGTTCTAGATGACTTGTTGAATATACGTTTTATTGTATTTTATATGCTGTATCTTCTTTAGACATTCCCGCAGACCTGATACAAGTTCCCGATAGCTACCTGAACCAGATTTTGAAAGGTCTACTGGACAGGAGAAAATGGTTCCCTTTTCTCAGCATAGTCCGTAAACACCGTGAATTCAATGCCTCCAAAGAAAAGTGTATGGATCTCGTAAACGAAATATGTTTAGAGACTGTTGTGGGAGATCCACAGTTTCTAAGAAAAACTGAAAGATTGGACAATTTGATGAAGGGGTTATTGGATATAGGAGCAACTATACAGAATGGTAAGTAATCATAACCCTGTATAACTTGAAATTAGATTAATACTTATCTGTCCTCGTGAGGAAGTATATTTTTGTTATACCAATAATGTACAGAAAATTGAAACATTACAAATGAAGAACGATTTTTATGAATCTTTTATAAAGGGGAAATGTTACTGTTTATTGCTATAAACAATGTCCGATGGATTTATAAAAAACAAACACCAAATACTTACATTATTATATTAACAGCTGTTCAGTGTTTTATATATTGAATGTTGAAGTTCAATATCTGCTGAACTTACTAAAATAACTATTACCATATGTTTTATAATTATATTATCTAACAATTATGATTATAAAACAATTGTTTTTCGTTATATATATGATATTGTATAAACAGTTGTATGACGGCACATGTACAACGCACCAGACATAGCGTGCGCAAAGCGTACGCGCATGGGGGGTTGGGGTTACAGTGTTACAGTGACCGTTATACTGTCAAGATTAGGTTTGGCTCAGGTAACAGAACATGTAAATAACAGTTTGATGAGTGACCAGAGTTTTTTCCTGGCCTGTGCCTAACACAGAGAGCTGATATGTGATATCATATGAACGTTATGGAAACACAACTGGAGATTAGGCATTTGTTAGTTGCATTCGTTTTGGTCTATAGCTGCCCTTCACCTGGATTTTCACACTTCGGCGAGTTACGTAAGTGCCACGGGTGAAAAAAACTACGGTTCAGATATATTTACAGTGTGGCAATGTTTAATTGTATATTGGACAGTGTATATATGTATTGTAATTTAACATGTGTTGATTTGGGTCGTTTCAAAATCACAAAAAAACATAATTTCTAAATAAAAAATAGATAGATAGAAAGCTACATGTAGCCTATAGATGTAGCTAGAAATCAAGTTTCTATGTTTAAACACAAAACCATATCTATTGTCAAGCCATTCCTCAATTTACACCAACCACGGTTGTTTTTGCACAACGTTCGCACAAATGCGCGCAAGGAATAATCTTCCAGATTTGTATCATTCGCACATGGTGCGCCCATTCTTCACACACCGTGCGCACATTCTTCCTTAATCTTCAGGGGGACAAAATTGTATCTACACATGCATCAAAAATGGCCACTATAGGATCCTCCCCTTTCTACTGTCGAGGGGCGCTCATTCAAGACACCTGACCATATACAGCGGTGACACGCCTGTACATGCTGCATTAACGATCGCGCTTCAAAAAGGTCAGTTTTTGTTTGTTATAACCTCATATTGAACTCATGCATTGTCGTCTCCTTAAAGCAACGATTTTTACAACTGTGCTATGCCGATGGTGTTATTTATAAGAATAAATGTTCCATGAAAACTAATAAATGCCTTTTCCTAAATTAAAATAATAGGCCATCACATTGACCTGATAAACAGTTACAAACACTTGATATACTATAACATCCATGTGATAAACTGATACAACATGCGTGAGATTCGATGACGACAATGTGTATATTTAGATGTTATCATATCAACACGAAATCTCCATTTAGGTCAGATATTAGTTGAGAGTTGATATGGCATAGGATATATAAATGGTTATAACATAATGCTTTTATCTCATTCTACTCCATAAAAAGTTTAATACGGTATCAAAATTAGCATCAATAATACAGATCGAGTGTAATAGAGGCGTTATTTTCCTGAAATGTTTTGAATCGGGCGTAAAATGAATATGGCGGGTACTCGGCAGATTTGGCGCGTTCCTGGAAGATATGGGCCGGTCCGGCACATTACCTATTCACAGCTAATAGTATTTAACAAGCAAACCAATCATATCATGGTGAAGCATCTGATCATTTTTGTTGTACTGTAATAATTTATCGTAGTTATGATTTTATCCTTCAGAAACTTCGAGACTTTTGTTGTCAAACTGACCTAGTTTCCTCTGTTTATATATGACTTTATCATGATTATAGACCATGTCGTATGTCCCTAGGTTTGTCATGCAAACTTTCCTGTAATTGTTGGCAGACATCGTGAAGGGTGCCACATGTGGTACAGTTATCGCTTACACTTCTGGAACACTTGTTTCGTCGTGATGTATGCTAATGAAACCTATATTAACTTTACCACATAATATGTTTACTATTACTTTTGATAAATTTAAAAGGATTATTTTGTCATTATTGATTTTCATTGTATTTAAAATTGTTCATTACTAAAAACAAATCTGGAACTAGTGCACTGCACAGAACGGCAATACTATGATCTGGGTACTTCGACTTTTACCTACAATGAGTCAGCTCATAACACATGATTGTGTTTGAAGTTTTTATTTTCAAATTATGAATGTTATGTGATAAAAAGAATCTCGTTCCCGTTCAATCAATTCAGTATGACTATCTATTATACGACACACAGAATTAAACCATAATTATAACGCCATTGCCATCTTTGTTGCAAACATTCGTTGATTTACAACAACTTTTCTTCTGATAGCTCCAGGACATTTCGAGGCGTTTAAATTGCTGTTAACGAAGTTCCAAGAAGATCCACAGGTAAACCATATGTGTGATCCCACAGCAAAAGACAGAAATGGAGACGGACTGCTACATCTCGCCCTTCGCCAACCAGACGGTAGTCAATCCAGGAAAGCTATTGATTTATTGATCCAGCATACCCAAAACCCTTCAGCCATCCTTTCAAAGAATAAGAAAGGACAGCGTCCGTCAGATTTGATAAGGGAAAAACATGATCTAAGATGGCGAATATTAGAACCATTTTTCTGTTGTATTCCCGCACAACCAAAGCGACAAAAGGGGAAGAAGAAATCGTCACAAGCTGCACACGTTCGGGAAGACCAATCTTCTTCTGATTTAAACAATGCTGTGGAGAAACCAGTGGACTCAGATACCGGTGTTCTAGGTACGACACGAGAATTCCCTTCAAATGAAATTGGAAAAACCTTGACAAATGATGCCGACTCAGAGCTCTCCATTGATGACAAGAAGGTACGTACATACAGATAACTAATTTGCTTGCTAGTGGTATTGTCGCATCAACTTAAATTTCTGATGTTGCTCTTGTCTATTGACCTCATGAATAAATTTCTTATGTTTATATACTGTATCCTTTTAGATGGTCGTTGGATCATTTTCGAAAAGCACAAACAAGCTGACAGAAGAAATTAAGGAAAGGAAGAAGGTGAAAGATGTGCCACATGACAAAAATGATAAGGAAGAGGGCGTGCCACAAGAAGAAGAGGAGAAGAAGGGACAGAACATGTCACAAGGAAAAGAGGAGAGAAAGGATTACGTGCCACAAGAAGAAGAGGAGGAGGAAAGAGGTGTACCGCAGGAGAAAAAAATAGAAGGAAATATGCAACAAAAGGCAAAGGCAATGGATGATGTGATGCAAGATAAATGGACAGAAAAGGAAGAAAAATACAAAGTGAAGGAAGAAGAGGGAATAAAAATAATATATACAAGGGAAAAGCTGCAGGATACCGAATGTAAAGTTGAGGTTGTTGACAACAAGGTCAAGGAAGAATATGACGATAAGGATGCACAGGATGTTCGTATAGATAATCAGGTAAGTACAAACTGAAAGTTATGACACACGTATAAAATAACTTCATCTCACATATCCCACATCCTAGGTCCGAACACTTCAATTCTAAATATAACACCTTCGGTACCATAATTTATTCTCTGCAAAGCATTAGTTTTGGCCTAAACTCTAAACTTAACCTCGTTTAGAATTCCTTTATGTCTGATCAGTACATATAATAGACTGTATTTATTTCGTCTCAGAAACATTGAATGAATTCTCGGACCAGGTATTAATAGTTCGTTGGTTTACTCTGTGACTCTGACTCTTCTATGATTAAATAATTGTTCAACTTGTCTAAGATTGTCAGTAATATACATCTTTATACATATATTTCCTGGAGTTAATTGGTTCTGTGCATGGTTAGATCTGCATATTTGGAGTATTCGGTTTCGTTATTATACAATTATTGACTTTTGTGATGGTGAATATGATGTGATATATCATTTTGTCAGGTTCATATCATATTTACCAGCACAAGAGCCCAAAACTGTTTTATTATATGCTTCAACAATAACAATTTGTATAATTAACCTTTTTTGGAACGAGCCTTCGTGTAACATTTAGCCAGGGTTGAATCCAACAGTTCAGCATCGTAGCTTTTGAAGACATCTGCACGTTTATTTTCCTTAAGCTATAAGCATAATGACACGCACTGCGTGTTCGGTGGCGGTTTTTTGTGTTTAAAAAAACAACTTTATCTGCAAGTAGTTTTTGGAAATATTGAGATGTAACGGAGACGAAGAAGCATTAATTATCTGTTGTCGTCTGACAAACTGCGTTCTGTTCTTACTGCGAATACGCTACGACAGATTCCGGGGAAATTTAATATAGGCTCTATTAAGAAATCGATATTCACCGGATAACAAGTCTACATGCATTTTTTAGACTGGTCACGTGTATAGGATCCGACCAATGTGATTGCGAGAAATATTCAATCATATAATAAAATGATTTATTGCCCAGGTGTCAAGGGTATAATAAAACTAACAGATAATATAACGCGAAGTCGATTATCGTTGCAAGAGACAGTTTTGAAACATCATTAATAATACGTACATTCACTGATAGCGATATATTACTATTATCATAAATATAATTGAAATCATCAACATCAGCAGAAACAAGAAAAGTCCCTAGTCATTCGACCTGAGCCGGCTAGATATACCGCCTGTGCCAGATGTTACAAGAACATGACTAATGCTAAAGAGCACCTGCGGCTTAAACGTACTGGAAAGGCGTACACATGGCTAGCAATGGTCATTGGAGAGACACACATAAACAGCAACAGCAACGTACATCGAGGACTGGTTGATGAGGCCCTGACATTGGTTATAAACAGTCTCAGTACGACCTTAAACCCTGGTAAGTCAGTTGGCCCTAAAACTGGAAACAAAGTATCTGTATATGACCTTTCATTCATGAATGCAAGACTCAAACCCTGGTCACCAACAGTCACAGTACAGTCTAAAATCAAAGTCGGTGAGGCCACATTTCAGCCCTAAAAGTATCACATTCCGGTTAGTTAGGATTCAATACTGGTCTCTGTAAATACTAGGATTGTATCTAAACATAGCTACGTTTGGCCTCAACATATGATGAAAATTGATTTGATTTTTTTACGTTTGAAAGCGTCAGAGGAAAACAGTTTTAAATGCACAAAAATGGGCTGGTATAAGGTACATTGCGTGACTTTGAAAATATGCCAGTTTTAACACTTTTTGTAATAAATAATCAACAATATATATATTTGGAAAGGGTTTTAATTTATTTCTTATTTTTTGTCATTTATGCAGAAATACCAGAGAGTTTGGCAAGGATTCCTGTGGATTTCTATCAGATGATTATAAATGACTTGGCCAAGGACGAAAAATGGAGGCAGGTTGACATCATGGTTCGAGAGAATCGGAAACATCATGGTGATCTGTCTTTGAGGGATTTTGCGAAGAGCATAAATATTGCCCGAGTGATACGTCACCCGTCCTTCGTCAAGCAAGACAACCTCCTTGCACAGCTTATTGACAACATGTTGGACAGCGGAGCAATCATGGAAAATGGTAGAGTGTTCTCTCTTATGGAGAGGTGGCCTTTGTGATTTATTGTAACCTAACCTTTGTCTAGCCACCAGTTTTAATTTGACTGTTTTGTAAATAAGTTTGTTTTCACGGTAGATGATAGTTTAATAATCACATTAATTTGCACATAATAAGTTCAAATCTTATTGAACTTATTCAATGGATCCTATAAATTTCATATTCAAGTGCATATAAAAAAAAAAAAAAAAAATGAAAACTACAGGCATAGTTTTCAATATAAAGTGATTTACAAGATATATGTATATATAAATTGATCCTTTGTCTATATAAGAGTTATTAGTCAAGATAACAATAAAGAATATCAGCCCAGTTGCAATCTTATGGTAAGCATCTACATTCTAACTGCTCAATTGCTTATCTTGTATACTTCTCAAGAGCATTTCATACATTTATTTTGTTGTTAGTATATTCATTCAATATGCTCAGATAGGAAACCATAATACTTGACTTAAATGATCATCACCTAGAAGTAAAATGAAATACTTCTGTATTATAGAGGGGAAGATGTGCATGCTAGCTGCAATCCAGGAAGAACATTTCAAGTTGCTGTGTACACTGTTTGAAAGGGGAGCTAACCCGGTATTCTTGTCCCTACAGCCAGGGGACACACCCCTTCATGCATCCATGTCAATAGCCTTGGAGAGAGACAAAGGTATTGAATATTCAGAGGGCACATATTAGATTTATAATTTTGACCAATCATAATAGGATGCTGTAGTGGAAATGTGACAGGTGTTATTTTTGTGTAGGAATATTAAGAGATATTCTTCCTCATATTGGTGTTTTATAATTTCTACCAATCAGAATAGGATGCTGTAGTGAAAATGGGACAGATGTTATTTTTGTGTTAAGAGATTATCTTCCTTATATTGGTGATGTCTATTGATGTTTCATCCTCGTGGCTAGCTATTTGATTGGTGTCAGGTCAAAAAACCTGACCAATCACTTGGCTGATACTTGTCCTTTGAAGATTACAGAGGCGCCACACCTGACTTCAAAGCTAGTAAGTTTTACCGTTATGCGATCACGAGATTATTTTGATGTACATCAAATGATCAAACTAGTCTTCTCTTGTCATCTCCAAGGTTGGAGCACACTGAGCCTTTTATTTTGTTAGGACATATTCCAGGGGTGTAAAGAGCGAAAGTGAACGTAACTCCTAGATATTGAGTATGTTCATGTTTAAAAGTAATTTCCTTTTAGTTCAAGGGCTAGAAAAAGGGGGATACATTTTGTTTTACAGCTACTATAATGTTTAAGTGTGTCATGTCTGATCTGTGATTGATATATTGGAAGCTCTTTCATTGGTCGATGATATATTAGAAGCTCTTTCATTGGTCAGTATGAGTTACACATAACCTAGTAAACTTTCTCTGGGTAAGGAAGGACATCAGACTGCTTTTGTGAATGTCACAATTACTGTTGAAAAAATCATTTGGTGTTATAAATAATAAACACCAGGAAATGTTCGCTGCAGTTCAATTTTGCCTTTTTCACCCTTCTGGAATGAGGCCAAATTTAACATTACAGCAAACCTTAGGCAATAACATAATTTACATAACAATTGAATGTGAAATGCAAAATTAACACTGGGCGATTTTGGAGTTCATATGTACAGGCGAAAATTTGATTGGGCCAAAGTTTCCCAGTATATTTCCTGGATAATAAGCTAATGACACTTTAAAAAGCAATTTTTCAGAGTGAAGCATTATGAAAATGACTGAAATTTCAAACAAATCATGATAATACAATAGAAACATTTCACTTAAAGCTGACAGTGCAAGTTAAAAAACTTTCAACTGAGATTATTTTTTTATTTATTTTTTTGGTCTGGTCTTGAGATCTTCCCGATCTACTATGTCCACTTTTCTTAGATAAATGCTATCTTTGACGTGTTCCATTTCAATTTTATTCAACTGATATGATACAAAATGTCGGTAAAAAATTGTGAAAGTGTTATTTATATATATAGTATAGTAGTACCTGCGTACATATATTGAACAAATGATAACCGGTTTGAAGGTTTGAAAGGTAGTGCGCTTTTTACACCCCAGTGAGACCCATACTCGTTACCAAGCAAGGACAAACTAAAATGTCGGCACTTCCTTAGAAACGATGGAAAGAGATGAGGAAAATCACAAAACCAGGGGAAAAAAACCTTTTTTTTTTTAAATCTCAATTGAAAGCTTTTTAACTTGCATTGTCAGCTTTAATTAAATACTTGATGGTAAAAAAAATGTCCTGAAGGGGAGACACTATACATTATGGAACAGTTCAGAAATGACTTCAACGATTGAGCTACAAAAAAAAATCTATAAATTTTCATTATTTGCTTTTAGGCAACTTCACAATCCTCAATATTCTTTTGGATAAATTTAAAAGTGACCCGGAAAAGTTTGCATTACTGGACCCTAACCAGCAAGATGCCAATGGTGATTGCCTCTTTCACCTCGTGGCCAAGATGAAGTACAACAGCACCACACAGAAAGCCACCGAGCTTTTGTGTGAAAAGAAGATATCTGCTCTGGTCTATAATAACGAGGGAAAGCTACCAAAGGATTATTTAATCAACAAGAAGAACGACCGCAGGTAATAGAAGTTTTAAGAAAAACTGCACCAGTTTAAACAATATCAGTTCGTGGACAATTTATATCTCTTCGAACATCTTCTTCTTCCTCCACTACTAAATATACAGTTTTTTTCAGTCTGTTAATTTTGGATGGGGCGTTTTTATCTCATTTTGAGAAGAAAACATACCATTTACGAAGGAAATTTTCAGGAGTAAACTGCAAATTTTTGGAATTAGGCATAAATTTGAAATAGTTTCAATTTGGCATTGAGCCTATGATCGACCCTGAAAATGCCCCGGTAGAAACACTGACATTTGTTCCTTTTCCTGGAGAAACATAATTGAAAGAAGATGTTCTTGACAAAGTACTGTAAGCAATCCATAGTCTATAATTTTTCAAACGTTTGTAAATGTAATAGATATGTGATCGCATATGCTCCATACAGGTACGATCTGCAAACATATCTTCACAATTAGTGAAACAAATGTCACTTTAATGCTGAATGTGAACGATATGTTTTATTTCAAATGAAAGTGTTGCTATATTTTTGTTATTGATGAAAACTCTGATAGTTTGACTATTATGATTTGCTATAGCAATACTATTGTAATAGTATTTGGTTCTTAACCATTAATTGACTTTACAACTGATGTATGCTTTCTTTAATAAAATTATTTATCACATAATGCACTGTGTTATCCAGTGACTATACCCAAGTCATTTTTTTGCTGTTTTAACCAATGTAATATGATCTATCAGCCCTGTGATTTGTTATAAGTTACAATTGTTTCAATTGTGATGTCACGTCTAGACATGTACATGACATCACAGCCTTACGCACTGGAGTCAAAATGGTGGCTTTTTACATTTCAAGGTTGCATGACAATTGTCATTTTACAAGAGTACATGCCACCAATCTTGATTATGTCATAAAAAGGATTTTGCACTCATTTTCGTTAATTAGATTTTAAAGAAATTATCCTAAATTTGTTGCTGAAGGTTGTATGTTATCTAGTTTACAAATTTTCATTGATCTTGTATATACAATCAGCCAGAGGCTCGCTAAATTGAAAAATTCTTAGACTCGTTTCATAAATCTCATATGAAATGGAAACTCGTGTAAGATCCTATATATCAGTATTAACTATTATTAATTATTATTGTGGAAAAATGCCTAATTCTCCAACTCTTTAAAGGACCCCAGTACCACCACAATTTTATGAAAAGTAATAGAAATGAAATAAGAATAATCAACAGCACTGTTCTGCTTGTGAAAATTTCGCGGGACTAGACCAGGATGCAATCCTAGACTTCAGATTGTTAAACTATAGCTCTAAACAAACAAGCTACCTGGTCAAAGGAAGTGTCCTGGCTAAACTGTGCTGTAGTTATATCCGAACGGAAGCTAAGGGGAGGTTACTGTATAAAGGAAAAAACGCAGAACAGTGGAACAGAGATCCTTAAGAGGCACAAATACATGCTAGACTGTAATAAGTAAGAATAATATATACTCATGTTATTTTGTAATTTTGGACAACAGATATTTTATGTATTTTTGACAATTGTTAATGAAATGATAAAACTTGCCATTGGTGTATTATTTAGGGAAGTGAGCTATGAGGGGATTGTTACAATGTATAGTTACATTAAAATTTCATTCACCTCTGTTTCTGCTTTATACACTACATAGGCTGCAGTTCTTTCGACTGGCATCTATTGAGACAGAAACCAAACCGGCAACCAAGAAGCCAAAAAAACCGAGGCTGAAGATGTCGGAGGATGATGTGCTTGATGAAGAACAGGATCTGTTACTATACAGTAGGACAGATGAAACGCAGGCTCGTGCCGCACCGGAAAAAGTCCCACGCAAAGATAAGAAGTTGATTTTTGCTAAGACTTCAACACATCGTGAAACAGCCAAGAAGAAGATAGAGGAAATGATCTTCAATCTGCCAGACACTCCTTACTCTATATTCAACCCCAAAGTTCCCAGAATGGAGGAAGGTTGGAGGTCACGAAGGTCAGGTGAAGGTCAGAAGGGAGCCAGATCGCCAGACAAGAAAGATGATCTTAAGGTAGAATAGATGCAGTTATTGTTGAACCAAACATTCAGAATAGAAAAAATACGTTGTTTTTTTTCCCTACCAATTCATAATGATTTTTAGGTCACCAAAATCTCAAGTGACCTATTGCGATCGCCTTTTGTCCGGCGGCGTCCGTCGTGCATCCGTAAACAATTTACATTTTCGACTTCTTCTCCAAAACTCCTGAACCAATTTCAATTAAATTTTGCAGGAACNTTGACCCTTGGGCAAAATTTATTATGGTTTATAATGGCAAATGATACTTTGAATATTACATGTTAATAACTTGATTGGAATTATAACCTTGAGTTGACAGTTTGATACTTTGAAAATATTGAGCCAGCCCTATCCCCAAGGGCTGTAGGGTGGGGCGCAAAGGAGTCAGTGTGCTAAAATTTCTTCATTATCCTTGTTTAGAATCAGAGGTGCTAGTTTCAAATACTTTTTAGTCTTAAATCTGTATGCGAGATATTGAATAAGGTGGTTTTATTGTTTTTTGTCACTTTCAATAATATTTCTGTACGTGTTAAAAACAAAATCAACTCTCTGTATAAATATATCAGGTGACCGTTAAGGCCCATGGACCTCTTGTTTTCTGAACCCTTGCCTGGTTACCTGGTCATAGATATGGGAGAGTCTATGAGCCCCCTCATCTTGGTTCAGAACTGGCCCACTGTGGTGTGTCCAGAATGCTTATTTTTGCTTGGACAGATTGATCACTCTATCAAATACTTTGGAGTAAACTGAGTCAATAAAACATGATTTTGATGTGATTGCCAATTTATTGATCCGAGACTCTGACTGCATTCTTTCAGATTGCCTGAATTTCTTTCCCTTTTGGGATTCCATAACTTTTAGACATTCACTAAGGTGGATCCCAAATCACCTTACAGTTTCTGTGATATAAGATATGCCATATTTCTCGGACCCAATTTCTGGTTGCCTTGCCCAGCCATATATCAATGTTTCTCATTGTCTTACTCGCTTAGTATTGCATTTCTGGTTACTTTGTGAACTAATAAAATAACGTTTCTGGTTTCCTTGCCCACCAACAAAATAGTGTTTAATGTTTTTTCCCATTCACATCCATAAAATAATGCATTTTTTGTGTCCTTGTACACCTATTTGTAGTAGTTTCCCATCCGTATAATAATGCATGTTACGATTGCCTTGCTAGCCCATGAAGTAGTATGTGCCTTTAAGTTTTCCTATTCCATTTTACTTTTGTATTTACCTGATGCATTATTTTTGCTGAAGCTGCTACTCAATAGCAGTAGAATTTCAGGTATTTAACTCTTTTGCACAATTGAACATATTCATCTGTTGTTCATAGGTGGAGAAACTGGATGGAACAGCCCATCAGGCTGATGCAACTGCTGCCGCACCCCCTCCGCAGGAAGAGCAGCAGGTGGAGGCCATGATCAGTGGGGAGCTGGAAGCAGAAGAGGATGAGGAAAAAGAAACCTATGAGGTACACAACAGATATTTTTTGTCCTAGATCAATTAAGTTAAAGAAAACTATTATTTTCATGCTTTTACTTTCCATTATAAGAATACATATTTGCACACCTTCTACTCTAAGTACTATTTCCACTTAAAAGGACAAAATTTGTTGAATAGAAAATTTTGCTACCTGTCATTATTTTCATATTTTACGCTCTGCTGTTACAATATTCAATTATACAGGTAGATGTTCAGGCTTTTGACAATCTGGAATGGGAGGTAGAATGTACGTCTGATGTCTGGAGAACTCTCCGTGACAACCATGTCCTTCCTGAACTGAAACGGCGCATTGTCTGTAAAGTCCAGCACCTGGCTAGTGGGGAATGGAGAAAATCCCTTTGTAAACCTGTTACTGCCAGCAAAATGCCCGAAGCACTGCGAATTTTTGAGGCCAAACTGTCAAAGGGAGGCAGGATACTGTGGGAACTAGCCATTGCATTTTCGCCACGGTTGAGTGAATCTGCCGAACGCCGTTTGAATGTTGAAGAAGAAGAAGGTGAAGATCTTGCTGTGAGAGGAGGGAGGATTTACTCCGAGGTGATCAGAGTTTGGGACATTGTGTTTGATCATGATCACATTCACAGGTGTGTGGAACGTATCATCAAATCACACAATCGTGGTGAGGAGTGCATCATACAGAAAAAACTTAAAGGAGTGAAACAGACTCAGTTCCAGGAAGGAGCAGGTAAAACAAAGCTGATTTTCTAATCTGTACAAGGGGTGGGCTTAAAATAAATGAAATGTACCGGTAGATTGAATTCTTGAAAAATCTGTACCTGGCTATGTCTTTATATAGAAAACAGGTAAAAGTGTACAAAAGGTATAGGTTAATTACCCATTGTAGACTTATCATTGGTAAAATTTACAAAGGGTGGACTATGCATTTCAAGTATAGATTACTTATAATAATAAACCTATGCTTTTTGAACTTTGCACTTGATAAAACTTTTTGTTTTAAATGGCTGGATTGAAACTACTTCAACAATGTTAGAGGTTTTACACGGCGAAAAACTTTTGACAGGCGCCGCATAACCTCTAACTGCCCATAGCTGATTTTCCCGATGTTGACGATCACATTTTCAAAGTTCGGATTAAGAAAGAGTATATCGTGTTTACATACATTCAAATGGTCAAAAGGGTCCAATAAATATTCTTTTCCATAAATCCATGATTATATGAGAAACATTTCGTGTCAAAGACATAAATAATGAGTTTTTCCTCATTCGAAGCGAAGCAGAAAGCATTTGCCATGATTTTTCCGGTTGCTACAAAAATGGATTACATGCAATGTTTCACAAGCGGAATACAAACAAACTCCGTATCATTTTGTTCCGTTTGAAATCCTCCCTGCTATTTTGTATTAATCCAGAATCCATGTTTTAAATGTAGGTCAGAGATGTGCTACAACGACATGGACATGTATTTTGAGTGTTCTATTCCGCAATATATTATATATTTGTGTCTGTGACATACATATGAGATCTATATTATATAAACCGTGAGTAGACATCGTTGTCATGAACTGTTAACCACTTAAGTGAGTTTTTCAAGCCGATTTTGTTCCGCCCGGATTTCGGGCGGAAACTGCATCAAAGAATTAGTGCTTCGGAAATGAGAGGTCACAGTCGGCAAAATCATATCCGATTGAAAAAAGGCCGACCAGCGGCCTCTCATGTTATGGGAGTAGATTGAAACTTGACAGATTGCTAGTATAAAATTTCTGGCATCACTATATAATATTCTACACAAAGTAACCCAAAATTTAATTGATAAAATTGACAGAAATCATACCCTGTTTGTTTAAAGCTCGACAGGTGTGCATGTGTAAGAGCTTAATAGCTACAAGAAAGTGAAATTAAAAAAATCCCTGTAGAAAATACTCCAGGTACTTTTCCTTTCCTTAGGGAAGCGTTATCCAATGATATACGCTGAAGCTGATGTTGGATTCAAGGACCAGGAGCTGCAGGAGTACCAACAGGAATTACAGAGGTTCTATCCCCCGGCCAGTAGTAACGACACCGAGTACCACATCCTCAAGTTCTACTCCTTCTCCTCCAATCTAGTCTACCATGTCCTACAGAATATAGAGACAAAAGTAGGTACTACATATCAGTGATACAGAATATAGAGACAAAAGTAGGTACTACTTATCAGTGATACAGAATATAGGGACAAAAGTAAGTACTACATATCAGTGATACAGAATATAGAGACA